CCCCCCTCCCCCATCACCTCAGCCTTAACCCCGCCTCTTCAACATTTTGATGCCAGCCTCACAGCTGCTTCCTTTCCGTAGCAGCAGCAGCCGTTGCATCTGCTGCGGTGGCAGCAGCAGATGCAGTGGCAGCAGCAACGAAAGGACACCCGAGAGCTTACGAACCGCAGCGATGCATACGGCCTTGCGGCGCCGCTTCCCCAACGGGCGGCCTTTTGAACTGCATGCACCGCTGCCGCTGCTGCTGCCGTTGGTGCTGCTGCTTCAGGAAGCACTACAGCGAAGTTTGCGCCCCCGCCGGGGCGATGGTGATTTGTCACGGCAAGGAACATCTTCTTGGGTGTCTCTGGAGATGCCCCAGCAGCAACAGCAGCAGCAGCAGCAGCAGCAGCAGCAGCAGAAACACGAACGAAGAAGCAGAGGTTTGGCAGCGATCACAAGAGCAGCAGCAGTCCCAGCAGCACATAGGGCAGGCAGCAGCAAACTGTAACACCGCAACGGCAAGGCAGCGTCTACGGCAGCAGCAGCAGCGTCTGCAGCAGCAGCAGTTTCTCGTGCAGCAGCAGCAGCAGCAGCGTCTACTGCAGCATCAGCAGCAAGAGCCTCTGCAGCAGCAACAAAAACAGCGTAAACTGCAGCAGCGGCCATAACAGCGTCAGCTACAACAGCAGCAGCAGCAGCAGCAGCAGCAACAGCAGCAGCAGCAGCAGCGGCAGCAACCCACAGCGACACCACAGCGTTTTTTTGCTGCTCCTAATTTTATAAGCCCTTGTGGTTTGGGGACTTTGCTCAAATCCATGAGTAGATGCTGCAGAGAGCAGAGCAGCACCAAGTGCGACTAGCGCACGTATTTTCTTTATAAGAAAAGGTACCGGCCGAAAAGGCCCTCCTAGAGCAGCGTGGCTCTCTCTGCAGCAGCAGCAGCAGCAGCAGCAGCAGCATCGACAGCAGCAGCAGCAGCAGCAGCAGCAGCGGCGGCAGCAGCAGCAGCAGCTGCTGCTGCTGCTACTGCGACTGCGCAGCTTTCGAGGGAACACCTCGAAGTACCGGGAGCCTTATTGCAGCTCCTAGGAATGAATACGGATAAACTGAGCGAAAGCATTTGGGGTGTATGTTTCTGCTGTCTCCTTTCTTCTCTTCTGTGTATGCCTCTGGTGTCTCCTTTCTTCTCGTGTGGGGCAGGCTGTTGTCTTTGTTCCTGCCGTTGCTATGCAGTAGACAAATCACACAAGGCAGCAAAACCCAGAGCACACAAGTACAGCAAGCAGTAGAGAGACAGCAGCAGCAGCAGCGCTGTAGCTGTTGCTTTTAGACCCACCACCTCAGAGGCAACTAATAACAGCGCGGCTGCAGCAGAACTCAGTGCTGTTTGTGGCAGCGCAAAAGTTAGTATGCTGCTGCCAGCCTGGTGCAGCACAACAGCACCGACTGCAGCACCAGCAGCAGCAGGAGCAAAGGCAGCAGCGGTAGCAGCAATAGAGGCACCAGCGGTAGCAGCAGTAGCAGCAAATGTACTACGGCAACGTAACGCAGCTGCCTGAAAGCAGTGCGTATCTGCTAGCCTGGTGGCTACAACTTCTTTAGTTGCATTTTGCTTCGCCTCTCTACTGGGCAAAAGAGTTAAAAAAGAAGGAGACAGGAGACAGAGACGCCGTCTCCTCAAGGACCTTCACGACTTGGAGGTGCCTGTACACCTGAGCAGTCAGTCGTTCAGGTGCTGCAGAGAGCTGAGGAGACACCCCAGGTCTCTGCAGTGTAGCGCGGGTTAAAGTGCGGTTGTTGTGGAGCCCCTTTTTGTCTCCGCCAGTCTTTACGTCTCTAAAGCAGATGGCAGGGCCGTTGCTGATGCTGCAGCAAATCGAACGGCGTCTCTGCTGTTTCTGGTGTCTGCTCTTTTTGGTGCCTCTGCTGTGTCTGCGGTGTCTGTCTCTGGTGTCTCTAATGTTTCTGGTGTCTCTGCTGTTTCTGCTGTGTCTGCTGTCTCTTGTGTCTCTTTATGTTTCTGGTGTCTCTGCTCTTTCTCGTGTCTCTGCTCTCTCTGCTGTTTCTAGTGTCTGCTATTTCTGGTGTCTCTTCTCTTTCTTGTGTCTCTACTGTCGCTGGTGTCTCTGCAGTTTCCGGTGTCTCTGGTCTTTCTGATAGCTCTGGCGTCTCTGTTGTTTCTGCTGTCTCTGCTGCTTCTGCTGTCTCTGGCGTCTCTTGCTGTATAGGGGTGCCATCACAACAGATAAGGGCCCAAGGGCGTTGTCTCCGTTTGTCTCCTTTCTGCGGTTGTTTCCGTGTTTTGTTTGCTGTTTGTCTCCGTGTTTGCTTGCCTCTGTCTCTTCTTTTGTCTCTTCTCTTTGATATACTTTTACATTCGTCTCCTTTCTTTCTGTCTTTTCGCCGCACTCTCTGTCGACTTGAGTCTCTCTACTTCCATCATCTTTTCTGTCTCTGTTCGCTTATCTCTGTCTCTGGATGCAGTGTCTGTTTCTTCTGTCTCCACGTGAGTCTCTGCTAGTGTCCCTAAGTGTCTCCTCACGTGCTCTTGTCTTCTTAAGTTCTTTCTTAGCTTCAGCGTCGTTCTTGGGGTGTCTCCTTTGCTGTCCTTTTGTTTGTTTGTTTGTTTGTTTGTTTGTCTTCCCAACGCATGCAGCTTCTGCTGGATTCATATTTCTTTCTTTCTCACTGTCACCCCCCTTGTGGGGTGTAGCGATGTATAGGGAACTGCATCAATTCTTTCTTAACTATATACCCTGCATAAAATATAATTAAAGATATAATTATCTTACTCTTCTGTCTGTCTCCTTTGCTGGCGCCCGGCCCAACCTCTTCAACGCTGCAGCGCATATTCAGCTGCTGCTAAACCCTAAACCCTAAACCTTAAACCCTAAAAAAGCGGATATACACCAATGAAGACACTGCAACATTCCTATTAAAGCTCGTAAGGGGGCCCCATGAGGGGACAGTTGCTAGGCTAAGGGGAGACAGACTAGCGGCCCTTCTTCTTTCTTTTTTTTGATATGCATGCTGCTCCAGAAGAAACGTCTACGAGAATTATGATTAATGCGTCTCATAGAAAATATAAAGCTGCAAATTTTAATTTTAATTTGCATAGTATGGCACAGCGGTGAAGAAGTGGGTTCGATACCCATAACAATACAGAAAGCTAATCTATAAAAGTTTAAACATTTCATTAATAAATATATCTAATATATAATACAATATACATGTATATTTAATATATACAATATATATATATATATTAATATATATATATATATATATATTGTGTGCATAATATATAACATATTGAATTTTTTCAGTATTGGAGGATTTCGTCTTCTTCGCTGTTTTGATTCTTCTGCCCGTTTGTCTTTTTGTTTCTTTTGAAGACATTTTAAGTTTTAAGCCCCATACTGACAGAGACAAACAAAAGAGAGAGCTCCTTCTCTGTCGCTCTCCTTGCTTTTAGGGTTTAGGGTTTAGGGTTTAGGATGCATGAAGGACAGGGGATAGGAGTCGATCCCCCCCAGTTACTGCGGACGCAGCAAAATATACAGCTGGTTTTGGAGACAGTAGAAGCTCAGATGAAGACGCACAAATATATATAGCAAACATATATTTCTGTCTCTGGCTTCGTCTCTATTATCTCTCCCGCTCTCAGGCTTCTGCTGTATAGGCAGCTACCTTTCAACAGCTAAATAAACAAACAATTTATTTTTCACTAAGGGTGGCCAGCCTGTGTTACCAATCCCTTTAACAAACAGGCTGGGGATGATGTGGGGTCTGGGATCGATCGATCCCGCGTGTCGGCGGTCTTCTGCGATCTTCCGCCTTGCGTTTGCATTCCCCAGCGAATATGAGGTGTACATACACCTGAATTCAGAGACTAAAACTAAACTAATATAAAACAATTATACTTCCTCCAACCGCTATCTATATATATCGCTATCTTAGCGGGGGCCCCCTTGAAGGTTAGCTCAGTGGAGACGTAGGGAGGGTCCCCCTGAGCGAGACAGCGGCTAGCTGCAGATAAATTGTTTGTTTGATTCATTTTAAAGATATTATATTTTAAATATATTTATTATCATTATTGATAATAATTTATTTATTACTATTGTTCTTAGTATGAGTACTGAAACTTTAACACAAAAACGCAAGCCGCTGAGATGGTGAGAAGAGACCAATGGGGAGGAGGGGTTTGGGGGCCTTGCTGCTGCAGCTGCTGCAGCCGTTACCTGCTGCTGTACCTTTCTGGCTCTCTGGGCTGCAGCAGCTGGCGCTGACGCTGCTGCTGCTCTTCCGCAGCAGCAGGGGGTCTCAAGGCACAGGCTGGACAGACACCACCAACTATCTATACGCCTTCCTCGTGGTAGACGCAGCTCTAGGTGAGGCCTTGTTGCTGCTTAGCTGCTGCTGCTGCTGCAGAGGCAGCAGTCTCAGCAGCAACAACAAAGGCGACAGCAGGAAGCGCGGGAGGCCAGTGGTGGTGGTGCTGGTGCTGCTGCTGCTGCTGTGGAGTGTCTGCCAGGCTCTTGCTGCTGTGCATACAAATGATGCTTCTACTTATTTGTTTCTCTCTTCTTCTCTAGCACACTGAAGCCCTCGGGCCTCAACTCTGCTGCTTATTGCCCCCGCGCAGTCTACACTTAGCTGTATGCTGATACACCTTACCCCTGGTATCTGGGTATACGGTACACAGGACAAGCATATAAATATAAATATAAATGCAATAATAAATATATATATATATATATATCCTACGTTTTTAAAAGCACTTCTTACTGGGTTTTTATTTGAGGCCATCGGGATCCCACTTGCGTGTTTTATCTCTTCTCTGCTGCTGCTGCTGCTGCTGTTGCTGCTGTTGCTGGTGCTGCAGGTATTTTTGTCTTTTGTCTCCCGGTCTGCACCCTGGGGAGGAGTGTGGGTCCCTTGTGCTCTCTGCAATGGCTGCTGCACTGCTGTCTCCTTGCACTGAAGCTCGCTGCCTGTCCCTTCATTTGGGGAGTCTGGGGGCCCCCTGGGGCCCCCCCCAAACCCCACAGGTTTTCTCACCTTTACCGCATCTTCTCATCCTCTGAAAGAGCAAGTACGTTTACTACCCTAGACCGAAGACAGATGAAGAAGAGTTATTCTTATAATCACTAAGTATAAAGCTTTTCAACACCAAACACCTGCTCTCTTGACGCTGCTGCTCTTCAGCTATCTATCTTGCTAGCTGCTGCATCTTCCTCACGCCCATCGTCTTCCTCTCTTTTGCCGCATGTTCATACCTCTACTCTAAGGCCCCCTTGGAGGCCCCCATGGGGGCCCCTTTGGAGGACCCTTTGAGGCGCCCATTGGGGGGCCCCTTGGGGGGCCCTTTAGGAGGCCCCTTGGGGCCCCCCTTTGCCCCAAAGAAGGCCCCCAAGGTCCTGGGGGCCCCCGATCCCTCAACATCAAAATTGTTCTGGGAGAAGAATACTTTGAGGGGCATTTCAGCTAACCGAGTGATGATTCTCGCTGATCTTACCTTAGCGCTGACTCTGGATTTGTTGGACCTCGCTGCTGCATTTTCTTTGTCTTTAGGTGGGTAAGGAGGCCCTTTATTAGATAGTTTAAAGCCCTTATTGCTTATTCATACTAATTGCCCCCCTCTTCATTATTATTCATAATAATATTTATATCCCTTGTCTTTATTCATTCTAATTATGCATGTTATTAGCCTGCTTCTTTATGCATATTAACAGCCTTAATAGTAATAGGGTTCATGTGCATACACCGTAGAGTCGTTCTTCTTTTAATGCCTTGAAGCCCCTTAGTATAATAAAAACTGTTCTTTCTTTTACAGTCTTATAATAAAGCCGTTCTTCTGTAGATAGCCTAAGCCCTCTTAACCTTAAACACTAAACCCTTAACACCAAACCCTATACCCTGAACATCAAACCCTAAACCCTAGGCCCTTCTTCTGTAAACAACGTAATGCCCCCAGGATGCATCGAGGCTTCCTCGGGGTCTCTGGGGCTTTTTAGCTGCCTCTCGGTCCACCTACGTGCTCATAGCATCAGAACAGACAGCAGCACCCTGACCAGCAAGCTAGCTGGCTAGCCAGCTAGCTGTCTGGCTGCATGCTAGCTAGCCAGCTAGCTAGTTAGCTAGCTAGCCTATCCGTCTCAGTTCCTGCTCCACAGAGAAACACACACAAGAAAGCTGCTCTGCTTCTGTATCTGCAGCGCTGCAACACGACTTGCGGGGGCCCCATAGGGCATCACAGGGCCCCCTATTGCCTTTCTCTAGCTGCATGCTGATGGCGCTACCTGCTGCACTTGTTCTACTTGGGTTTGCCTTCCCTGCTGACTTGAGGGGTCGGGGGCCCCCCCCTCCTCCGGGGCCCCCGGGGGCCCCCATGAATCCTCGCCAACCCGCAGCGTCTGCTGGGGGCCCCCTCAAGGCCCCTTACGAGGAGAGTTCTCACTGGGTGATGAGCAGCAAGTCTTCTGTAGGTTCAGATGTTTTTGTTACAGCGAAGTATGCTTTTTTGGTGGGGTTGTTGCTTATAGATATACCGGGTGTGGGGTTTAGGCTGGCTGCGCTGCTACAAGGGGGCCCCCTGCAGGGGGGCCCCCTTATGTGTCCTTTGCTGTTGAAAAATTTCGTGTGGCTGGCCCTCAGGCCCCTGCGCATGCATCAGTGCGTCTTAGCTGAGAAAGAAGAGGCCCAATGGCTCCAGAGAGAGGTCCTTACTGTAACAGCAGACGTGCTGCTTCAGCCTGCTGCAGCAGCAGATGCTGCTGCTGCTGCTATTGCTGCTACAGCAGGGCCCCCAGCGCTTGTCACGAGCCCTAATGGCTTCGCCGCAACTGCTGCTTCTCCAGGAAAGCCACACGAAGGTGCAGCAGCAGCAGCACCAGCTGCTGCTGCTGCTGCTGCAGGTCGGAGGCGCCCCACCAGAAGGAGAGCGGGGGCGTCAGTAGCAGCACTTCAACAAGAAAGGGGACAGCAAAGGGAAGCCGGCTTCACTCCAGCAGCAGCAGGAGCAAAGTCGGTTGCTGCTGCTGCTGCTGCTGCTGTCAAGGAGAGACAGCAGGCTTTGCTGCTACACCTGCTAGGGCTGTCTCCTGCTGAGTACCCCACAAGCCTTGAGCTGTCTCTCTGCTCCGCGGCTGCAGAAGCAACGGATGTATTGACCCTGGGGCCCTCCTCGCCTGGAACTGGAGACGCCTCTCATGCAGCAGCAGTAGCAGCAGCAGCAGCAGCAGCAGCAGCAGCAGCAGCAGAGGCAAAAGGGGGGCGCTCGGCTTCAACCCTCTCGGACGCGCAGCAGCAGCGAACACACAGGAGGCCCTTGGAGGCCCTCCTGACATACAAACCCCGACGCTTCCTGCGGCTGCTGGGGAAGCAGCAGGAGGAGGCTCAAGGCGCTGCCCCAGCTGCTGCAGCAGCGGCAGCAGCAGCAACAGCAGCAGCAGCAGCAACAGCAGCAGCAGCAACAGCAGCAACAGCAGCAGCAGCAGCGAAAGGTGCAGGAGCAGCGTCAAAGAAGCAACTGAGGCCCGTGGTAGCCAAAGCCCTCACCACTGATAGGGTCCGGAGATCTCATAGAGAAAGTCTTTGCCCCGAAGGCTTGCGAAGTTGTTTTTCTGTTGCTCTTGATTCTGCTGCTGCAGCAACAGTCTCCAACGGTTCCACAGGAGCAGCAGCAGCAGCAGCAGCAGAGAAGGCAGCTGCAGCAACAGCAGCTAAACCGACACCTGAAGCAGCTGCAGCAGATCATCAAACGTACAAACAGCTAGGCAGGAGGCTTGGGGGCCGCTTCTCCTCTCTGCGGGCTCTTTCGGGGCGCCGCCGCTCCACCATGCCCTCTCTGATGCAGCAAAACGAACAGCAGCAGCAGCAGCAGCAGCAGCAACAGCTGCCGTCGCCGCAGCAGCCACATGCGGGGCAGCTGCAGTTTGCTGCACCACTGCCTGCACGAGCTGTGCGGCTGGAGTCCTACCCAGGGATAAGAACCCCCCGCGATGAAGATATAGGGTCAATGACGCAAGCAGAGTCTCCTGCGCTGTCTCTGCTGCAGCTGCTGCCCTTAGATCCGTGCAGCACACTCTCCCCTCAGCACATAGGGGGCCCCCCTGGGCCCCAACTGCACTCGCTGCAGGCGCCCCGCTTCAAACCCCAACAAATGAGAGGAGACGAGGCCCCTACTCCGGGTAATGCCGGGAGGAGACTGCGCCGGGGGGCCCCCCTTGGTGTTGCTAGACCCGTAGAGGGGCCCCTGCTGCGGCGGCCCAGTGAGGGCCCCACACCTGGGGGCGTACCCAGGGGCCCCCGTCACTCTGTCTCCCTAGCGCAGGCCTTCCTCAACCTGCAAGCACAAGACAGTCAGGACTGGGGAGACAGCGAAGCTTTAGAAGCAGCAGCAACCGCAACAGCAGCAACAGCAGCACAATGCCGCTCTTGCAGCACCCCAGGCTCTGCTGCCTGCACGCAGCACCTTACCGACATAGACGACTCGCGAGCAGCATCAGCAGCATCAGCAGCTGCTGCTGATGCTGCTGCTGCTGCTGCTGCTGAAACACAGAATGAGGCCAGACAACGGGACAGGGAAGGTGCGGACTCCCCGGCTTACGGCTGCTGCTGCTGGTTAAGGCGCCTGGGCACGAGAAGGCGCAAGGCGTCACAGCAGCAGCAGCAGCAGCAGCAGCAGCAGCAGCACCGGCAGCAGCGGCGAACCCGTGAGCTAGTGCTGCAGCACATGCAGCAGAACCTCGCAAAGGGGCATCCGCCCTTGCACCCTCCCCCGCAGCTTTTGGAGTCTCTGCGGAGGAGACAAGAGCAGCTGCTGTTGCCGCGGCCGCCTCTAAAAGGTGTTGGTATAGGTTTGCTGCTGCACCGGCTGCTATTGATGCTGCTGCGCCCTAGGGGAAGAGGCTTTGCTGCTGTCATCGATGATGGGGTGTACATCAAACGCAAACAGCAGCTTCTGCTAGCTGCCCTTGCTGCTGCTCCCCATGTGGCGAAGCTGCTGCTGACCCTCCGGCCATTCCTAGGCCTGCTGCCTCTGCTGCAGCAGCAGCAGCAGCAGCAAGGAGCGGAACAGTTGGCAGATGGGGCCGGAGGACGCCGCAGCAGCATAGAGATGGTGGGGGGAGAAGGCAGTCTCTTGCTGCTTATTCTGCTGTCTCTGCAGGTAATGCTGCAAGGGGTCTTGTATCTGTGCATGTCAGTACCCCTGCTTGATGTTTTGTTTGTCGCACTTGGTGGCTGTCTCCGTCTGGCTTCTCTGCATGCACTGCTGCTAACTGTTGAGTCTGTTGGCAGGGCAGAAGGCCCTCAGCAGGCAATCGAGAAGCTGAGGGGGCCCCCGCAAGGGGCCCCCATAGGGTCCCTCTCAGCAGCAGCAGCAGCAGTCAACCCCAATCAGCATGAGCCAATCGCACCGCTGGTGCTGCGCCTGCTGCTGTGCCTTCCTCCAGTCTTCTCTCTGCTGCAGCTGCTGCTGCCTACATGCAGTCTTCTCTGCCTGAGGCGCACAATATCGTGGTGTAAGCTGCTGCTGCTGCTGCTACTGCTGCTGCTGCTGCTGCTGCACCTCTGGGGTGGCTTCAGACGGCGTGTGCGACTATTGCGTGGGCCCTGCCACTTCTGTGTGTTTGCTGTAGCGTGCAGCAGGCGTGCTGCTGCTGCTGCAGCGAAGCAGCAGCAGCAAGCATCAGGAAGCAATGCCCTTCAGAAGGGTGCCCGAGGGACCGACGACCGTGCTGTTCCTGCAGGGACAGCAGGAGTCCTGCTGCTGCTGCTGTGCAGCAACATGGGGGCCCCCCTTTCTCTTCACTCACTACTAATTGGGGGCCCCCTCATCCGCAGCGTGCGCCTTTGCGATCAGCTGCTGCAGCAGCACTTCTGCGCCACGCTGCTGCTGCTGTGTTCACGGGGTGTCACTGCAGGTTGGGTTCCTGATCCTTTGCTGCTAATTATACACCTCTGCTACTTTTGCTTCTGCTGCTGCTACTTGCTGCTGTCGTGCAGTGTGCGGCTGCTGCAGCTGCGGAAGTGTGAGCTGTTGCTGCAGCTGCAGCTGCTGATGGAGCCGCAGCAGACCCAGTCGTCAGCATCCCCAGCAGCAGCAGCAGCTTCTGCTGCTGCTGCTGCCGCATCATTGAGGTTTAATTCCCCCATTGCTGCGGCAGAGTCCGATGAAGGCTCACTCACTGGAAGGAGAGCGCGAGCAGCAGCAGCAAGCGCAGCAGCAGCAGCAGCTGCTGCTGCTGCTCCCCACGTGTCCCCTTACATCCTGCTTTCAGACGCATCGAAGCACCTCGAGACAGAGGGCTGCTTCTCCTCCCCGGGGACGATTTGGCCCCCCTGCTGAAGTGCTGCAGCAACAGCAGCAGCAACAGCAGCAGCAGCAAGCTGCAGACTGTAGCAACAACAGTGTTACAGTCAGCAGCAAGCTGCAGACTGTAGCAACAACAGCAAGAACGAGAAGCTGCAGCACCGATGCCTGTGGAAACGGCCTTCAGCAGCTCAAGCGTAAGCCTTCGTTCTACTAGGCTCCTTAGCACCCATAAGTAAATCATTATTGAGTCAAAAGCAACAGCAGCTGCAGCAGCAGCAGCAGCAGAAGCACCCGCTGCAGGAGCAGCAGTCACTGCTGCTCAGGTAACTGCAGCACACAAAAATGTCTAAGCGCCTGTCGGCTGTGGGAACCTCGCAGCTACTAAACCCCAAACTCTAGGGTTTAGGGTTTAGGGTATAGGGTTTAGCGGTTTAGAGTACAGTGGTTGAGGCTTGGGGTCGCTTCATAGTATAGAGGTCTGTCTAGTAAAGGCAACTGCGTCACCAGCAGCAACAGCAGCAGCAGCAGCAACAGCAACAGCTTCGTAACAAACCTTTAAACTTTTAGTTTCTGGGGGTGGTCATTCAGTGCCCTTCAAAAATGAATAGCAGAAAGGACTCGGAAACATACTACAGTCAGCAGCAGCATCAGCTGCTGCTGCTGCTACTACAAACAGCAGCAGCAGCAGCAGCTGCTGCTGCTGCTACTACTACTGTTGCTCTGGGCAGTGTGGAGGCCAACTGCCGGAAAATGTGAGGAAAAAAAGACCTGAAAGATCCTATGGGCCCGTTCAACGTGCTGCAGCAGCAGCAACAACAGCAAGGAGATCAGCACAAAGAAAGCTGCGTCAGAGCCCCTTTGGGAGCAGCCCGTGATCTTCTACGATGCTAGGGGTTCAGGAAGAAGCCCACAGGAGAAGGACCCCCTCCCGCCGCTTATAGGGCCCCCTAGGGGCCCTATAAGGGGGCCCCTAGGCCCCCTTTAAATGCCCCTAGGGGTCCTTGTAGGGGGCCCCAAAGCCTTTTAGGGGGCCCCAATGCCTCTTCGGGTGGCCTACAAGTATATGCTTCGATGGCATCCTAAACAACGCCAAAAGAGGCCCCATTTAGGGCCCCCTACGGGCCCCTTAGCCGAACTCTGGGGGCCCCCTAAGGGACTTCAAAGGGCACCCGAGGGGCCCCATGAAGATCTCCACATAGGGAAGAAGGACTGAGTGTTTAAGGTTGAGTAGTTTTTATTGTTTAGGGTTGAGGGTTTAGTGCAGAGTGTATAGGGGCCTACAAAGACCTCCTGGGGCCCCCCAGGGGCCCCTTACGAACATCCTAGGGGCCCCCTAAGGGCCCCCTAGGGGCTCCTTAAAGGCTCACTGATGGACCCCAAGCCGGGGCTGTTGCTTGTATCAACTAGGCCTTCCGGGGAGGAAGCGAAGACATCAGACTTTGGAGACAAATTGTCTGGCGCAACCGTAGAGCTGCTAGATATCTGCACATGTATCACAAGACAAAGCACAAAGCATCTGTTGCTGCTGCCGCTGTTGCTGTTGCTGTTGTTGCTGCTGTTGTTGCTGCTACTTCTGTTGCTTCTGATTCTGCTGTTGCTGCTGCTGATGCTGCTGCTACCACTGCTGTTTCTAGTGCTGCAGCAGCTGCTCCTGGTGCTGCAGCCGCTGCTGTTATTGTTGCTACTGTTGCTACAGTTTTTGATGCTAGGGTATCCGCTGATGAGCAGTGCCTCGAGTTTTCAGTTGCTACCCTTGTTGCACCTTCTGCCTTTTGCGTTAGTGCACCAGCAGCAAGGACAGCAACACCAGCAGCAGCAAGGGCAGCAGCAGCAGCAGCAGCAAGGACAGCAACAGCAGCAGCAGCAGCAAGTACAGCAGCAGCAGCAGCATCAGCAGCATGCGATAAATAGTTTCCTGTTTGCTTGCCTTGGAGCGTGAGGACTTGGGGCTTGCTGCTTGTACACTGTCTTCTGTCTCTGTCTCCTCTTCGTCTGGGTAATAATATTCATATACTACCTCAGCCTCCGCGTAGGCCTCTCCTAAAGACTTGGCTGTCTCCAGCGCCTCACTGAACTCCCCTTCTTCTAGGCCTTCGCCTACGTACCTGTACGTACACCGCAGCCCGCCCCACCGCGGTTAATGTTCTTTAAAACAGCTGTAGAGCCACCCGCTGCTGTAGCAACAGCATCAGCTGCAGCAGCAGCAGCTGCTGCTGCTGCTGTTGCTGCATCTCCCAGGACAACAGCCAAGGCCCTCCTTCAGGAGGGTCCCCTGACTGATACCCAAAATCACCCATGGACTTCCCAGGTAAGGTTTTAGGTTCTAGGGTTTAGGGTTTAGGGTTTAGGGTTTAGGGTTTGCCTGAATACGAATGCTCTTTTTGCGAGCATTTTCTGTGCGTCTTGTACTGTACGATTGATATGAATAGCGTTGGCTGTATGATTAGCGAGGAGACAGCAGGCCTTATTGGTTGCCCCTAGGGGCCCATTTGCGGGGGTTGTGGGCCCCTGAGGAGACAGTGAAGCTTTAAACCCTGTCGGTATCCAATCAACAAAAGCTGTCTCCTTGCTCTCTTTCACAGCCAGAAGGGCCTCCTGCACCTCCCCACCGGAGACAGCGCCTCTTCAGCAAAACAACAAGACAAAGAATAAAAAGAAAAGAAATAAATAAAAGAATAAAGACTAACAAATACAAATAAAGCAACAAAAAGAACTCCCAACACTCAAATAATAAAATACTCACTTAAAATGATGAAATACGAAGAGGCCTCAGAAAATATATGCAAAATAAGACTATGAATAATAATAATAAATAATAATAATAATAATTATTATTATTAGTATTATTATTGTCAATATAACAATAATAATAATAATAATAATCAAGAAAACAAGAACAACTGGATGAATAAGAAGACTAAGAAGAATATGAAGAAGAAAAAGAGTGAGAAGAGCAACAAAAAATAATAATAATAATAATAAGCATAAAAAGACCAGCATAGAATAATAAGCATAAGAAGAATAGACAGCATATGATGAATACGAAGAAAAGAGTAAAAAGAATATGGATAAAAATAAGCAGAACGCGCATAATACGAACAACTTCAATAAGACTGAAAGATCAACAATACGATAATAAACATAATATAATAATAATAATAATAATAATAATAATAATAATAATAATAATAATAATAATAATAGGACTGCGAGGCTAGAAAAAGAGAACAACAAGAAAAAATAAGACATAGAATAAGCCATGACACCAACAAGAGGCATTAATGCAACAACGGATCCAGCAGGTGCAGCAGCAGCAGCAGCAGCAGCAACAACAGCAGCAACAACAGATGCAGCAGCAGCCGCAGCAGGAGCAGCAACAGCAGCAGCTGCAGTAGTAGCTGCCGCAGTAGCAACACCAGCAGCAGCAACCATAGCAGCAACAGCACCACACAACCGGCATCAGCCGCAGCAACTGCCGCTGCAGCAGCACCAGCCGCAGCAACAACTGCAGCGAAAAAACGACCACTAAACGCCGCAGCCGCAGCAGCAGCCGCAGCAGCAGCTGCTGCATGCTGCTTACCTGTAGAGGAGATTGGCGGTTAAGAACATGCCTTCTGCCTGTAGAGCTGAGAAGAGAGACTGTCTTTGCTTAAATGCCTCCAGAGTAATATCTTTAGTTGTTGCTTTATAGAAAGGTAACAAAGATTTACTAATAAGAGGGGCGTAGGAGACAGATAAAAAAGAAAGAGCCGGGAGAGGGATTGAATTGTTCAGCAAACCCTCAAGGCCGCACGTAGCAGCAGAAGGAAAGCGAAGAGACAAAGTTGCGCCTGAGAGGAGACACATGCAAACAATTCGAGCTGTACGTACACCCCAAAAGGAGACACATGTACCCAGGTGAAGCTGTACATAACCCGATATGCACCTCCACAAATAACAGCACCAAGATGAGGGCCCCTACATGCCTGTCTGTCATTGCTAGCCTCTCAGTCCCTCTCAGCACGAAAGCTACAGACGCCGCATGCAGCACACGGGACAGCAGAGCACCTGCTGCTGCAGGTTCTGCTGCTGCTGCCCCAGCTTGAACTGAAATATGCTAAAGAGACAGGTCTGTCTGTGTTTCTCTTAGCACCCCTAAACCCTAAACCCTAAACCCTTAACCCTAAACCCTCACTGGCTAATGCCTGAGCTATAATGTGGTTCAAGTCGGCAGTAAAGGGAGCGCGAGAGGAGACAGCTCGGGAGAAGAGACCGCTGAGGGCAGCATTGTCTATGAGGAGGGCCCCCCCCTTTCTATCTGCAACCCCATCAAGAGACAGTAATGCATTATAGGGCTCCAGACAGCTAGCTGCACGGCTAGCTGCACGGCTAGCTGCATAGCTAGCTACAGGAGAGGCACAAGAAGTAGCAGGCCACAACAATACCTCCAAAAGAGGCACCTTAGGGGCCTCTTCAGAGACAAAACGAAGAATTTCTTCTCCAAACCCAGAGCCAGCCCCGCCCCCCAATGAACGCATGCATAACACCCCTGCAGACAAACCACAAACCCTTCATAAACCCTAAACCCTAAACCCTACACCCAAACAATACACCCTACAATACCATAAGCCCTTCCTTCAAACCCTATAATACCCTAAACCCTAACACCTCCAGCCAAACCCTAAGCCCTAAACCCTTCCTTCGATCTGCAAGCCCTAAACCCTTTCTCCAAGCTGTAAGCCCTAAACCCTAAACCCTTTCTCCAAACGCTAAACCCTAAATCGTGATGAAGAGGGTGCATCGTGCTTTAACATCGGCGCGTAGGGTTTAGCATCTGAAGTAGGGTTTAGGGTTTTGAAGAGAAGCCCCTCCCGCGCCCAGAACGTGCGCTGCGTCGTGTCTATCAACTAGGGTTTAGGGTTTAGGGTTTAGCAGATGTTAAGATTTGCCTCCGGGTGTATCTGATGCCTCTAGCTGTCGTCGTAGTACGTCCTGCGCCTGGGATCGAACGGGATCGGACGATCCCAGGCGGCGGCCCCTGGGGAAGAGACAGCCTCCATCTTCTTTGCCTGCAACCATACACTGTGGGGAGAAGAGACACCCTAAAGAACTTCTTTTAAGAGTGTCTTGCCCCTCCGAGTCCAAGTCTAATAAAGCGCAGCTGCAAACAACAGCAAAACAAACATACGCACATATACACATAGACATTGCTGCTACTGCTTCTGCTGCTGCTGCTGCTGTTACTGCAACAGCAATAATAAGCAGCAGCAGCAAAAAGCCCACCAGCAGCAGATGCGACACACACACACACACAGGCAGCAGCAGCAGCAACAACAACAGCAACAACAACCGCAGAAACATCAGCAGCAGCAGCAAATGCAGCACAAAATGCAGTACCACGAGATACAGATACACAAAGAGACAAAGGGAGTCCACAGAGGGGAAGGAGACAGGGAGACGGCAGGCAGATAAAACCTCCTTAAACAACAGTTGCATCTGCTTCTAGTGGAGGGTTTAAGGGCATCTAGGGTTTAGGGTTTAGGGCATCTAGGGTTTAGGGTTTAGGGTTAGGTGTTTCCAGCGGGAGACAGGGACTCGACAGGAACAGACCCTCTTAAACCATCACTGAAACTGCTTCAAATGAAGGGTTTAGGGTTTAGGATTTAGGGTTTTTTATGCAGGAGCCGAGTGCAGCAGAGACAAGAGGAGACACATTGCATGCGAAAGCAACAGCAGCAAACCCACCGAGGGACCCTTCTACCAGCCTCTGTCTCTGCAAAGAAGCAATCTGCAGCATTCTGTACCCTCTCTGCTGCTTCAGGGGCCCCCGGGGGGCCCCCCATACCTCCAAGGGGGCCCCAGGGTCCCCCTAGAGATGCGCGTTGCAGGGGTGAGTCCCATATGAAGTCCCCTATGGGGGCCCCCAGGGGGGCCCCTAGGGGGCCCCCAAAGCCAGGGCTTCTAAGAAAACCCTCATTAGTAAATCCTTGTTCATCTAATAACAACTCCCAGAAGGCTGCACCGCTACGAACACCAGCTTGACCTGTGTGTATCGAAATAACTTGCCGCACCATCTTTGGGGCTGAAAATGCATGCAAAATTAATAATAAAAACTTAAAATAAATTCAAGAAATGAAAATATATTGACAAACAAATACTCTAAAAGATACCCGAGCCACTGGTTTAACCACTGGGCCTTAACGCCAGAAACTGCAGCAGCAGCAGCAGCAGCAGCAGCAGCAGCAACTGCAGCAGCAACAGCAGAAACAGGCAGAGTTACGACTCAAACAGAATAAAACAATAAAAGGAAAAAACAAAACAACATTAAACAATGCTTTGATGCTGCAGCAGCAGCCTCTTCTATGCGCAGCAGCAACCAGCAGCAACAGCAGCAGCACATCGATAAGAAGCAGCGAGGGGGCCCCCTCTTTCTCTCTGCGCTCTTCTAGCTTCTATTTTTCGCCTATAGGCGTTAGCAGGCGCTGCGTTTGCAGTAATATAATATTAATATTTATTTTAAAACAGTTATACAGTATCTTCAGCGGGAGGGAGTGACAGGGGCTCCTGCTGAAGGATCGCAGCAACACACTCTTGCATGCGCAGAGTCTGTTCTGGCTGCTGCTACTGCTGTTGTAGATCTGCTGCTACTGCTGCTGTAGATGTGCTGCTGCTGTTACTTTAGACCTGCTGCTGCTGTTGCTGTAGATCTGTTGCTGCTGCTGTAGATCTGCTGCAGTAGCTGCTGTAGATCTGTTGCTGCTGCGACTGCGAGTGCAGCAGCAGCAGAACAGGATGTGAGGTTGACCTTCCGCTCCAACTCCCTGTGTTGCAGCTGGGCCACCACTTGAAGTGCAGGGGTTGGGTAGCGCTGGCTGGGGGCCCCCAAGGCTGCCCGGGGGCCCCACAGAGCCTACTGGGGGCCCCCCCAGGCCCTCCTGTAGGCAAGGGGGCCCCCTGGTGTATGGCTTTCTCGCCTATAGGGTCCATACACAGCCGCCGTTGGTAGATATTGCAGCTGCAGTAATTCTATGCTGAGCTATACAGCACCCAGCAGCAGCAGCAGCAGCAGCAGCCAGAGCAGCAGAGGTAGTGCAACAAACATGACCCTCCTGAGAGGTTAGTTGAGGAGCCCAGTTGTAGAGGGGCCCCCTTAGAGCCCCTTAGGGGCCCCCTCTACTTCTGTACAGACACTGATCGCCATCAAGGCGTATTATTAACAGAGGCATCTTAGCCTAGCTAGCACCAACAACAGCTGGGGGGGGGCCCACGGGGCCCCGGGCCCCGACGTTCTTCAAACATATACCCTAAATCAACTACCCAGCAAACCCCCACCAGAGGCCCTCTGAGGCCTTAGAGGGCCTGCGAGACCCCACAAAGAGGCCCTAAGGGGCCCTTGGGGGCCCCCCTGAAGCCCTAGTGGGCCCTGTGGGTACCTATGGGTGGGTCTGGTGGAGCCCTTTAAGGCCCTGTGGGGCCCTAGGAATCCCTGGGGTGAACCCTGTGGGGCCCTAGGGGCCCCAGGGGTCCTATAGGGCCCCCTTGGGGCCCTATAGGACCCTAGACGTAACCCCTTTGGGGGCCTTGGGGACCCAGTGGGTCCCTAGGGGGCCCTACAGGATCCTAGAGGTGGCTCCTGTGGGGCCCTTGGGGGCCCTATGGGGTCCTTGGGGGCCCTAGGAAGGCTTGTGGGGCCCGTGGGGCCCAAAGACCCCTCAATGGCCCTGTGGGGCCCCCGCTGCAAGCCCCAGGGTGACGGAGGAGGCAGGGGCCCCCCAAATGCAGCTTTAAGGGCTCTCTCAGCCCCCCAAATGAGCGACAGACGGGCCCCTGGGGGCCCCTGGGGACCCTTATGCGTGCCCCAGCTGCGTCAACTCTTTAAGGAACTCGCTTGGGGTGACGAATTCGGTGGAGCCGAAAATAAGCTGAGGAGACACCGCAACGAGAGACTTTCCCGGGTTCAACCGCTGCTTCTGCTGTTGCAGCAGCAGCGGCTGCTGCTGCTGCTGCTGCTGCAGCTTCTTGCTTCTCTTCCGTGAGGGAGCAGCAGCAATAAACACCTAAGGCCCGAACTCGTGTCTGGACCTTGTGCATTTGCTGCTCCTATCTTCCCGCGTGTCATCCAGCAGCAGCAGCAGCAGCAGCAGCAGCATCAGAACGGCAATAACAGCTGCAGCAGCAGCAGATAGTCTTACCTGTTTCTGTGTCTTAGCAGCAAGCTCTCGCACTGCTGCGGCCTCCACATAAGAACCCCCACCAACCACAAAGATAATTGCTTGTCTTACAGGGGGCCCCCGAGTAGCAGTGCCCCCAGGGGAGACAGTTGTGCTCGAGGCCCCTGAAGACTGCTGTCCCCTCTGCAGCAGCAGCAGCAGCAGCAGCAACAGCACCAACAACCGCAGCAGCATCGACAGCAGCAACAGCAGAAACAGCAACAGCAGCAGCCACAACAACAGAAGCACAAACACCAACAAAAGCAACAGGCTGTGTTTACTGTTTGCTTTATAAACAGATGCTAAGGAGACACTACGGAGATGCTTATAAGAAGTGAAGGAGACAGAAAAGGTGCTGCGTATGTACTCGCAGGTGTATAAACTGTCTCCCTGTCTCCTCTTGACCCTCCAACAGTCTCTCCAGCAGCTGCGTTATAGGCGAAGACTTGCGCACCAACAGGTTCTTCACGCCCTGCAGCAGCAGCAGCAGCAACAGCAACAACAACAACGACGGTGCATGCAGCAACAGCAGACACAAAGCATACAGCAGCAGTAGAGGCACCGCATGCAGCAGCAGCAGCGATAGCGCATGCAGCAGCAGCAGCAGCAGCAGCAACATCGAATTCAGCAGCAGCAGCAGCAGCGGTAGCGCATGCAGCAGCAGCAGCAGCAACATCGAATTCAGCAGCAGCAGCAGCAGCGGTAGCGCATGCAGCAGCAGCAACATCGAATGCAGCAGCAGCAGCATCGAATGCAGCAGCTACGTATCACAGGAAAGGAACAAAGAATTTAAAGGGCTGCGCAGATACAAGAGATAGAGGCTCAGCAAAGGAGACAGATAAACACAAAAGGAGACAGACACACAAAAAAAGGAGACAAATGAAGATCGGAGACACCTGAGGAGACACCCGAAGAGACATGCAGGAAGCCTGCATGTCTCTCTTACAGGAGAGACGAGAGGCAGCAGCAGATAGATAGAGAGAGCCGCACCAAAGGAGACAGATAAACACAGAAGGAGACAGACACACACATATATATCAGACTGCAGCAGCAGCAGCAGCAGCAGCAGCAGCAGCAGCAAGCACCTGCAGCAGCCCTCTGCCCTTGTCTAAGAACTTCGTGCCAATGCCTTCTAATGCTGTTGAAGCTGAGGAGACACCTGAAGAGACACCTGAGGAGACACCTGAGGAGACAGGGTTTTGCTGCCCCAAGTCAATCGAACGAAACGCCTGCAGCACAAAACGGCAGCGCAACCCGCATGCAGAAAAGGAGACAAAATGAGACAAATGAAGACAGAAAGAGAGACAAAAGGAGACAAATGGAGACAAAAGGGGACAAAAGGAGACAAACGAAGACCGAAGGAGACAAAAGGAGACAAAAGGAGAGACAAAACGAGACAGAAAAACGCAAAAGAAGAGAGACAAAGAGAGACAAAAGGAGACACAAAAGGAGACAAAAGGAGACACAAAAAGAGACAAAAGAAAACAAAAGGAGACAGAAAATAAGACAAAAGGAGACAGAAATACTCACGCTAAATCGGGAAAGAAAATGAATAGCAGAGACATCTGCCCCTTGCTGCTCTAACTGAGAGACAAGAGACTGAAAGAGAGGCTTAGGATATGAAGCTGCACACACAGAAGGAGACAGGGACAGCAAGAGGAGACGCATCAGATGCTACAGCAGCAGCAAGAAGCAGCAGCAACAGCAACAGGGAAGCAGCAGCACGAAGCAGCAGCAAAGAACCAGAAGCAGAGAAGCAGCAGCAGAGGCCTCAGGGGCAGCGCGACACGGAGACAGAGAGAGACGGAGACAGCAAAGAGATAGGGACAGAAGGAAAGAGACAGAAGGAGGCAGAAGAAGGAGACAGGAGGAGACGGCAGGAGACAGCAGGAGACAGAAGGAAAGAGACAGAAGGAGACAGAAGGAGACAGAGACAGAGGGGGAGAAGGAGACACCAAACCTCACAGAGGAGACAGACGAAGAGACAGATGAAAAATAGCGAAGAAAGACAGAAAGAAAGAGAAAGGAGACAAACAAACAAAGACACAAAAGGAGATAGACAAATGCAAAGGCAAAGAGACAACAGGAGACAGTCAGAAAAGGAGATAAAGAAAGAGACAGAGACGCAGAAGGAGACAGAGAAAGCCCAAGAGACAGCGCGCGACACACGCAAAAGACAAAAGGAGACAAAAGAAAAATAAATACAACTAACGTACGCCTAGAAAGATAAAGACAAGCGAGGAGACGCAGCTTGTCTTCAACAAGACCCGCAGAGTCAGGAGACAGACACTGCTGCACAGCACTTGTTACTACCGTCTCTCTATCCTGAGGGAGACTCTGTTCAATCTCAAAGTATCTGAAGTTCAAGCCCCAAAACGCATGCAAACGCACATGCACATACACCTCAAACAAACACCAGCAACAAAACATTCCTATTGACCTAATGAAAAGGATAGATAGACAGCTAGCTACCTAGCTAGCTAGCTAGGCTGACAGATATGGAGATAGACAGGTAGATACATAGACAGCTAGCTAGCTAGGTAGCTACCTAGCAGATAGATAGCCATCCAGCTAGCTAAAGACGTAGAAAGAAAGATAGGCGGCCACCTAACTAGCTGACTAATTCTTAAGTAGCTAGCTAGCAATATAGAAAAATACAAAAATAAAGACGGATAGATAGCTAGCTAGCTAGATACATATATGTGCAAAGCTAGGCTAACTAGCTAGCTAGCGGAAAGAGAAGGCCTCGTCGCCAGCTAGCTTCCAAGCTAGCTGGCGAGCTAGCTAGCTAGCTAGCTAGCTAGCTAGCTAGCTAGCTAGCTAGCTTCGGCAGTGGCCCATAGGAGAAAGTCTACTTTAGGGAGAGAAGAAAGACAAAAAGAAGACAAAGGGAGACGAAAAGAGACAAAAGGAGACAAAAGAAAAGACAAAAGAGGCAAAAGAAGAAACAAAAGAAGACAAAGAAAGACAAAGAGAGACAAAGGGAGACGAAGGAAGACAAAGAGAGACAAAAGGAGACAAAAGGAGACAAAGAAAGACAAAAGGAGACACCTGAACGAGCGTACCGATCGAGGCCTCTGTCTTTAATTGCAGAGACAAGAGCAGTCGCTATGGTTGTGTGCGCGTCTAAAGACCTCTTCTTATCTGCTAAGTCAGGCAGCACGTCAACTGCCTTTAGAATATCAGCAGATAAGTCCCCCTCTGAACACCCAAACCCTAAACCCTAAACCCTAAACCCTAAACCCTAAACCTTAAACCCTCAACATTGCAAACAAACACAATTTGACTCCCTACACTCCATATGCGCCAAAATATCCCCTTCTGAAAAACAAAAACCTAAACCCTAAACCCTAAACCCTAAACCCTCAAAATTATCACTCGATATCCTAAACTCTAAACTTTAAACCCTCGAAACCCTAAACAGATACAATAAACCTAAAACCCCCAGCGCCAGCCCTAAACACTAAACAAAACGAAACCCAAACAGCAAAGAGACGAACACTAAACCCTATACGCTGAACCCTAAACAAAAGCCCTAAACCCTAAACCCTAGCCCTGATATATACAGAATGAAAACCCTAACACTAAAGCTGAAGGGCGTAGGGACGAGCCTGCTGCTGGCCTTGCTGTCGATAACTTAGGTGGTTTAGGGTTTAGGGGGTTTGTTAGGGTTTAGGGTTTAGGGGGTTTGTTAGGGTTTAGGGTTTAGGGTTTAGGGAGCCTGCTAGGGTTTAGGTAGCTCGCTGGAGTCTGTGAGTTAGGGAGCTTGCTAGGATTTCGGGTTTAAGGTGTAGGGGGCTTGCTAGAGTTTAGGGTTTCACAAGGGTTTAGGGTTTAGGGTTTAGGGTTTAGGGTTTACCGGGTTGGGCGAAGGCGTCAGGAGGCCTCTGCCCCACCTTCGCGAGCTCAGCATTGTACTCTGTCAGCATTTGACTGACAGCAGCAGCAGCAACGGGGAAAGGAGAGAAAGCGTGTTCGCGCCAGAAGACGTCCCTCCTGAACAAACCCTAAACCCTAAACCCTAAACCCTAAACCCTAAACCCTAAACCCTAATTTCTAAACCCTAAGCCCTCAAAAGGGCGAACGCTGAGGGTGGTGTATGCTCCTCGCGAGCTCATCTGCACGTTTTATTGTCACAACTCAACCTCTACAAACCCTAAACCCTAAACCCTAAACCCTAAACCCTATTTCCCCCTACTTCTCAAGATCGAAGGTCTTCGTTGTTGAGGGTTTGCCGCCTTCACCAGGTGTCACTACAGTGACTCTATTTAACCTGACTCCAAGACAACACAAACACACGCACACACTGGTTGGCTAGCTAGCTAGCTGGCTAATTAGCTAGCTAGCTAGCTAGCTGGTAGACAGCTAGCTGCACAGCAACGTGGGCACTAAGCCATCAGCTGAAGGTATCAGGAGAAGACTCACGAAAAAAGAAAAACTAAGAATGTGAAGGTAGCTAGCTAGCTACCTAACAAGTTAGCTAGCTAGCTAGCTGGGTGCCTGGATAGCTAGCTAGCTAGCTATCCAGCTAGCTGTCGCGTGACGTCAAAGAGACGCACCTTAATTGCAACAGGTCGTGTATCAATGCCCCGTAGAGCCATGTGTGCTGCAGCATCGTCAGCAAATCGAAGTCTCTGTCCTGCAGCAGCAGCAGCAGCAGCAGCAAACAGCAGCAGCAGCAGCAACAGCAGCAACAGTTGAACCAGTCGCCATGGCACAGAGCAGCGTAGACGTGCGATGCAGCAGCAGCAGCAACAGCAACAGCAAGACCAAGCCTGCTGAAGGGGCGCCCAACCCTAGTGCAGCAGCAGCAGCAGCAGCAGCAGCAGAAGCAGCGGCATGTGAATGCAGCAGACAAGCCGTTCTGCTATCACAGCAGCAGCAGCAAACAGCAGAAGCAGCAGCAAAAGCAACAGCAGCAGCAGCTGCTGTTGCTGCTGCTGCTGCTGCATTAGGGGCTAGTTTACAATAAGGATTAAGAGGGGCTTAGACAAGGAAGTTGCAGCAGAGCCAAACATCTCAGCGAACGCCTTGGGGGGTAGGGCCTCCAGCAGCTCCTGCAGCAGAAGAAGAAGGCGCTGAGTGTCTCCTTGTGTCTCCGTCTGTCTCCTTTTTAAACTTCCTCCTGTCTCTTTTGCTGTCTTTGTCTGTGTCTCTCAATGCACGCTCTCTCTGCATCTGTCTTCATTCATTTATCTCCTGTTTCTCTCTTTTTCTGTTTTGTTTTAGGGTTGAGGGTGCTTCACTGCTTTGTCCCTTTACCTGTCTCTGTCTCTGTCTCTTTATCTGTCTCTATCTCTGTCTCTGTCTCTTTATCTGTCTCTGTCTCTGTCTCTTTATCTGTCTCTGTCTCTGTCTCTGTCTCTCTGTCTCTCTCTCTGTCTCCTTTATTCGTTTATTTATATTTTATTCATCTATTTATCATTTATTTATTTATTTATTTATTATTACTTATTTATTTATTTATTTATTATAATTTATTTATTATTATTTGTTTATTTCTGCTGTACCTGTAGCCTCAGCGCGACACTGCGAGCGGGAGAGGAGACAGAAGACGGGCAGTTAATAACAGGTAGAACGCCTATAAAAAAATAAATTAAATTAAAATAAATTAAATTAAATTAAATTAAATTAAATTAAAGCAAACAAACTGCAGCAAGTCCAAGGAGAAAGAAGAAAGGAGACAGGGCTGCGGAGACACATAAATATACAGGCAGCGGAAGCAGCAGCAGCAGCAGCACCAACAACAGCAACAACAGCAGAAGCAGCTGTTGCAGCAAGAGCAGCAAGAGAAGCAGCAGCATTCACAGCAGCAGCAGCAGCATACATAGCAGCAGCATACATAGCAACAGCAGCAGCAGAAGTAACAGCAGCAGCAGCAGCAGCAGCAGCAGCAAAAGCAAGAGCAGCAGCAGGTTTACCGAGGGTGGCAATAACGCTGAGGAGACCATTTGCTGCTGCATTTATTGCTGCAGTAACTTCTGCATCTGCTGCAGCAGCATAAATAGAAGAGAAGAGCGAAGGGAGACGCAAAGAAAACTCAAAAGGAGACAGACAAATAAAATTTACGTGTCGCTCCACCACAGACACCACAGACCCCACAGCGCCCTGAACACACACACATATAAATATATAAATAAATAAATATATATATATATATTATTATAAAAGGAGACAGTTTAATATAAAGGAGACAGTTTATTATAAAAGGAGACACCTTATGGGAGACTCTTAAGGAGACACCTTAAAGGAGACACTTTAATATAAAGGAGACAGTTTATTATAAAAGGAGACAGTTTAAAGGAGACAGTTTATTATAAAAGGAGACAGTTCAAAGGAGACAGTTTATTATAAAAGGAGACAGTTGATTAGAAAAGGAGACAGTTTAATATAAAGGGGACAGTTCAATATAGAGGGGACAGTTTATTATAAAGGCAGACAGTTTAAAGGAGACAGTTTATTATAAAAGGAGACACTTTAATATAAAGGAGACAAATTAAAATAAAGGAGACAGATAGAGAGACAAAGTGAAAGTAAAGCAGAAGTAAAGAAGAGACAGAGAGAGAGACAGAGACGAGCAGATAGAGACAGATAAGCACTCGAATAGATAAATAAAGTGTCTCCTTCTTACTGCTTTAGCTGCCCCTCGTGCGAGTGCTTGTAGCTGAGGTGTATCAACACCTGAGACGAAGTTAATATAATAAACAGCATATAATCTCTCTTCCAAGTCTTTAATAAGATGCTCAATTGTCTCCTTCTTGCTGCTAATTAAATATACTGCGGGGGCCTCCACCACAGGGGTTCGAGCAGCAGATAATGATAGAGGTAATGTAACGCCTTGCTTCCGCAGGACGCCTATCTAAACGCAGCAATATCAAACAAACAAACAAACAAACAAACAAACAAACAAACAAACAAAAACAAACAAATTAAAAGAAATAATCAACACAACAATAAATCGCTATAGGCAAATATGCGTGCATGTCTCCTAGTGGATGCAGCTATTTAGAGGTATATATATATAATATATATACTATATATATATATATATATATATATATATATTATATACATGCATATATATATTATATATATTATATATTATATTATATGTAGATATGTATATACGCTTTTTATTTTATATTTATGTGCAAATGATTGTATATTCAGCAATGTGCTTGTAGGCATACGATATATATATATATATATATATATGCCTAGATATATATATATATATGCATAGATATATTCATATATTATATTATATATATATTCTTACTGTCATAAGAGGGGCAAGTATATCCTTGGCGACATCATCAAAGATAAGCACCTTCCAAGGGCTTTTAGGTGTATGTTGAGATCTCGTACTTCCAGGTGTATCTGCAGCTCCGCGAGCCCCAAAAAGAGACAGCTGAGGCCTCTTTAATTGCAGCATTTCTTGCAGAGCTGCTGTCTGCCGCTGCTCTAAGTCAAACGCCATAGTTTGGTGTATCAAGGGTTTAGGGTTTAGGGTTTAGGGTTTAGGGTTTAGGGTTTAGGGGTGGGAAGGGGTAGAGAGAGGGAGGAAGAAGAGAGATAAGAAGAAAAAATAAAAAGAAGATATAAATAAACAATTATTAATTTATTATTTATAAAGTCCTCAATAAATATATCTTTATCTACCAACTTTTTAAAAAGAAACACACACAAATGCTGTGTGAGCGCTCAAGGGTTTAGGGTTTAGGGTTTAGGGTTTAGGGTTTATAACCTCCTGCTGAAGGAGCTTCTCTTTTAACTGTCTTTTGAAGTTTTCTTTCTCAAGAAGCAAAAATAAAATAAACAAATACAACAAAAGTCTATCCATCGGCTCCTTTGCTGCCGGCCTCCCGTGCATGCATGAGCGAGGGTTTAGGGTTTAGGGTTTAGGGTTTAGGGTTTTCAGTAAATATCTTCTTACAAATTCAAATATAGACACCTTCACACAGCTTTCATCACAGCGACACGGGGGCCCCTCTGCATGGGGGCCCCCCTATCCCCTCTTCTGCAGCGAAGGGCCCCGTAGGGGGCCCCTGGGGGCCCCTCATTATTATATTTTTTGTTGTTGTCTTTCTTTCTTCCTGTATCCAGCATCAACTCCGCATACACCTGGTGTTGATGTTGCTGCATGCTTCAGGTGTACGCACTCTCAATTTTATTGTATTTCTTTTCTTTCTTTATTCGCATTTTAAACCCTCAAACCCTAAACCCTAAACCCTAAACCCTAGACTCAAAGACTCTTTTTCCTTCTTTATTTTTTGTTGTTTTTCTTCTTTTCTACAACATATCGAGCAATATAAATGCCTATGAGGGGCCCCTGGGGCCCCATAGGGGGCCCTGGGGGGCCCCCTGCTCTCCGCTTATCACAAAGGCTGCCGTTGCTGCTGCAGGTTACGGGGACCCGGGGGCCCCCCTATACCCTCACTTCGTTTTCTATGGGGCCCCTTAGGGGGCCCCTTAAAGGACAGGCTTCTTTCTTTAGGGGCCCCTCTCCTACTTGTTCTTTGGGGGGGGCCCTTAGAGTTCGAGATGGAGATATAATGAGAGACGAAAATTATTTCTTATCTCTTTACCCTCATGATTATTATACTTTGAAGGGTTTGGGTGGTTTTGGGGTTTGCAAGGGTTTAGGGTTTAGGGTTTGGTCTTCGGGTGTATCTTTACCTCCTTGCAATAACAATAAAAGAGGTTTATTAACTCTCTCTTCAGGGCCCCTCAAGCTACAAGATATATGTAAACTTCATTTACTAAGGATACACCCTAGAGAAAAAGTAAAAGAAATATGGATAAGACATTTTGCTGATAATCCTCTTCGTTATGCTACAGTGTTAGAGGGCTATCAGTATGAAGCCCTAGAAGCAAAGTAGGTTTTTAATATTTTTTAATAAGGGTTTAGGGGCCCCAGGGGGCCCCCTCTAGTTAATAGGGGCCCCCTTAGGGGCCCCCTTTATATTTATTTTAAAAATTAAATATGGGCATTGCGAGGCTCGAACTCGCGACCTTGGGATTATGAGACCCACGCGCTACCGACTGCGCCAAACGCCCTTGAACATAAATCCTAAACCCTAAACCCTAAACCCTAGCCGATAAGCATTAAACCCTAAACCCTAAAGGATAAACACTAGACCCTAAACCCTAAACCATAGCCGATAAACACTAGACCCTAAACCCTATGGGATAAACACTAAACCGTAGGGGATAAACACTAAACCCTAAACCCTAAAGGATAAACACTAAACCCTAAACCCTAAAGGATAAACACTAAACCCTAAACCATAAAGGATAAACACTAAACCCTAAACCATAAGCGATAAACCCTAAACCCTAGTGCTATAAACCCTAAACCGTAAGCCCTAACTCCTAGGCGGTATTACACTGGAAATCGTAAACCCTAGACGTTAAAGCATTTACCTTAGGCGCTAAACCCTAAGCCCTAAACTCTGAAACCTATACAGTAGACGCTAAACCCTCAGGCTTAAACTCCAAACCCTAGAGGCTTGTCCCTAAACCCTAGGCATTAAATTCAAACCCTTGGACGCCAAACCTTATACGCTAAACACTAAACCCTAAGCCCTCAACACTAAACCCTAAACCCTTGACGCTAAACCCTAACCCCTGAATAATAAAACTGCGTTGTTTAGTGTCTGTATAACAGCATACTGCAGCGGTCGCACATCCTATTGTCTCCTTTTAGGGTTTAGCGTTTAGGGTTTAGGGTTTCTGTGTCTTCTTGTGTCTGTGCAGCTCTCGCAATGCCCCCGTCTTCATCGCCCCCCTCCCTAGGGGCCCTGGGGCCTTTGAAGTTTTTTTACTGCAGTTTAAACAAAACTTTTGTCTCTTTACAAGTCTAGAAGAATATAAACAAGTAAGCGAGCGGAGATTGTCTGTGTCTTTCTCTGTCTCCTGCTGCTGTTAACTGTCTCTCTGTCTGTTTCCTGCTGTTGTTTAATGTCTCTCTGTCTGTCTCCTGCTGCTGTTTAATATCTCTCTGTCCGTCTCCTGCTGCTGTTTGCTGCCTCTCTGTCTCTCTCCTGCTGCTGTGTGGTGTCTCTGTCTGTCTCCTGCTGCTGCTGTCTCTTCTTTGTCTCTCCAGTTGTCTCTGTCTCCAGATATATGTGCTATGATTAATGCAGAGAAAGACAAGAAAAAGACACAAGGGCTGCAGTGTCTGTCTCCTGTCTCCTTTCTTGCTCCTCTTTGTTGCTTTGCTGCTTCGTCCCCGTGTTTATAAAGTGTCTCCTTTGTGTCTCCTTTGTGTCTCCTTTGTGTCTCCTTTGTGTCTCCTTTGTGTCTCCTCTTTGTTTGCTTTAGTGTCTCCTTTTTGCCTACTTTTTGTCTTCTTTTTGTCTCCTCTTTGCCTGCTTTACTATCTCCTTTGTGTCTCCTTTTTGTCTCCTTTGTGTCTCCTTTTTGTCTCCTTTGTGTCTCCTTTTTGTCTCCTCTTTGTCTGCTTTACTGTCTCATTTGTGTCTCCTCTTTGTCTGCTTTACTGTCTCATTTGTGTCTCCTCTTTGTCTGCTTTACTGTCTCCTTTTGCTTTCTTTTAATACATTCTTTTACCTCCTTTTGCTTCTTCTTTGTCTCCTGTTGTTATTTTTCTGTCTTCTCTCACGACTTCTTTAGTATCTCGCTTGTATTCATATAGTATATAGATATAATATAATATATATATATATATATATATAATATGTATATATATATATATATCTGCATATACTCGATAGAAATAATGTGTTTATTAATTTTGAGTGTCTCCTTTTTGTCTCCTTTGGCGTCTCCTTTTGCTTTCTTTAAGACCAACACTATAATTCTCTTTTGTCTCTTTGTTTATATGCTCTGACTTCATGATTAGTATATATTTTATATTATTGTTTATATCTTGTTTTAAATATTTGTTTATATCTCTTGAGCGTCTCCTTTGATGTCTCCTTTCTTGTCTTTGTTTGTGTGTATAGAACCCTCAAAGAGCTGCCCCTTTGCTGCGTTTAGCTTTCTTCTCTGAATTAAAGCAAACGCACAACTTAGTCTTATTAAAGACAGATATATTATCTTCAAGGAGACAGTTAAATAGTCATCATGCTGCACATCTAACTCGCATTGTTATTGATAGCTATACAGATATTAATAAGTTTTCATGGCCTCTTCGCTTTAATACGCAGCCTCAGCAATTTTCTTTCGATGCTTTTCACCAAGAAAACCCTCAGTACTTTTCTTATAACTATACATAAACTATATATAAAATAATATATATATATATGTATATATATATATATATATATATTATGTTTTATATATAGTTAAATGCATGCAGCAAACAAATACAGAAAATCATTTTGTAGCTGTGGAACAAAAAAAGATATAAACACATACACACGACAAAAACTATATATATGTATATATATATATGTATGCATATATGTATGTATATATATATAGATATATATATATATATACATATATATATAATATATATATATATACAGAAAGCTTTTTTTTATTAGTATACCCGTATACTTCTATCTAAGTCTATTACATATCTCTCTATTTCCTTTTCGGTCTATATATATATATATATATATATATGTATATATATGTATATATATATATATATATGCAGGCGCTAGCATGTGGTGTGAATACACCCACTGCTGCTGCAGCTGCCTTTTGTTTGTGCTGTTGCTGCTGCTGCTACTGCTGCTGTTGCTGCTGTTGCGGCTGTTGCTGCTACTGCTGCTGTTGCTGCTGTTGCTGCTACTGCAACAGCTGCAGCTGCAGTGCCGGCTGCGTATATGGGGACTTCAATTAATTAGACACACTCAACTCAACTCCTGCCAAGTATATATATATATATATATATATATATATTATGTATATACATATATATGTATGTATATATATGTATATATATATACATATATGTGTGTTTATATATTTATATACATATATATATTTGTGTGTGCAGGCAGTTGTTTATTGTTTTTGTCTATGAAAAGTATTTATGAATAATGCGCAGCAAAATACAAACAAAGTCGCAGCGCTGCAGCAGCAGCAGCAGCTGCTGCTGCTGCTGCTGCTGCAGCGTGTGCTGCGGTGTATGTCCAGCTGGGTATTGATTGCGGTTTCATAGAAGAGAAGGATATTTTATTTTTTTAAATTTGTTTTTATGTAGACATTGTAGATTATTTAGAGACAGAAAAAGAGGGGCCCCTTCTCTTCTCCAGCTGTCTGTACACCTCAAGTTGTGCTGTATATTGTATAGGCGTTTATCGCTAGCGGGAGCGCTGGGTATTGTTTGCAGCAGCCTCAGATAAAAGCAATAAAAAGACACGTAAGAAGTGTTTTAATTAAAATCTAATTTGTTTTTTCGTTTAATTAATTAAAAAGCTGTTTATTGATGTATTTGGAGCAAACAAGAGTGAGAAAAGAGCAGCAAACAGAAACTGCTGCTGCTGCTGCTGCTGCTGCTGCCGAGGCCCGCTGCCTCACAGGGGGCCCTTGTGTGCGTACTGTGCTTCTTTTATTGGTATTGTTTATCGATTATTCCTTTATTTTTTGTATTTACAGTTTATTTGTTGTTTATACTTCAAAAAGAAATAAAGATCTCTACAGACAGAGCTGCCTATACACTCGAAGGCGCCTCTGCGCCATCTGCCCTCTTGACTGAGCAGAGTTTTTCATTTGTTTGTGTTTGACTTCTCTTTTATATTTTCTTGTCTTCTATCTCTTCTTTATTGCGAATCTACTGTTATTCAAATACCCTATCAAGCAGAAGAACCAGCTCTTCCCTTTGCTGCTGCTGCTGCTGCTGCTGCTGCTGCTGCAGCTGCAGCACCATGAGGGGACCAGCGGCTTCCCGTCGGCAGCGGCTGCAGGGGACAGCAGCATTAGAAGAAGATAAACAAAAAAACAGCAGCTCTAACTCCTTTCTCTTTTCTTCTTCTTCAACAGGGCAGCAGGCTCAGCAACGAGGTGGCTGTACACTCCAAGGCAGCGCCTCTCGGCTCTCTCCCTTTTCTGCTGCTGCTGCTGCTGCTGCTGCTGCTGCTGTTGCTGCTTCTGATGGGTTGTACGATGCCGTAGCAATAGAGCAGGAGCAGCGCGACAGCCGCAGGTCTCCGCAGTTGAGAAGACGCCAGCAGCAGCAGCAGCAGCAGCAGGAGCTACTGCAGCATGCAGCAGCAGCAGGAGCAGGAGCAGCAGGCAGCAGCAGCAAACACGCTAGAGGCTCTGGATCTACTCATCGCTGTCTCCCTTCCTTTCGCTATACACCCCAACTCTGCGAGAAATCTGAAGAGATTGTTAGGGTGTATCGGCAGCAGCGTTTAAAAGAGCTATGGATGAAGATAAGCAGCGACGAAGAAGGTGCAGCAGATTTCTTTGCTCTTCACTCTGTTGCTGCTTCTCTGTCTCTTACAGAGCGTCTCTTTATTAAAGCTGTTATTGCTGCTCTCGTGCAGCAAGCCATCAGCAGGTGCAGCAGCGATGCAGCAGCAGAAGGAGACACACTAGCAGCAGCCTGCGACCCGTTGCTGCAGCAGCAGCAGCAGGAGCAGCAGCCGCTGCAGCAGCTGCAGGTGCAGCACCCAGATAAAGAAGGCCCAGTTAAGATCAGCACGCTGTCTCCTTCTTCTAGACCTCCTCGCTTTAGACAGGAGACAGGGGATTTGCTGCAGTCTGCAGCAGCAGCACAGCAGCAGCAGGAGCAGGTGCTGGACCCGCAGCAGCAGCAGGAGCAGCTGCAGCAGGAGCAGCAGCAACAGCAGCAGCAAGCCGCACAGCTATACCGCCGTCTAGCGAGAGAGAGAGGGAGAGTCTATATGCTAGATGCTGATGAAGAGACAGCAGATGCGTCTGCTACACCGCATCTCTACGTCCCTGCCTCTGTCTTTCTATCTACCTGCATGCAGCTGCTTGAGGGTTCGTTTGGTGTTGCAGCTATTGATGAATTTAGAGACACCCTAACTCGCAGCTGCAGGAAGCTTGTTGCTGCTGCTAGCCCCGCAGCAGCAGCAACTATCGTCCAGCCACACGTTCTCGCATACTCTCGCAAGCTCGAGGCTCAGCGCCAGCAGCAGCAGCAGCAGCAGGAGCAGGAGCAGCAGCAACAGCAGCAGCAGAGGCTGTTGCTGCAGCGCGTACGCTCCCGATCCCTACCTGCATGCGGAGACCCTTCTTGCTGCTTCGAGCAGCAGCAGCAAATAGCAACAAAACGCTGGAGTCGCTTTGATGCTGCTATCCAGCGCTTTATCCTCAAGAGGCAGCAGCAGCAGCAGCAGCAGCAGCAGCAACTGTCCCTAAAAGAGCAGCAAGAAGCAGCAGCATGTACATTTCACCCTGAGATAAACCCCACGCCTCGCTACCTTAAACAAAGACGTGCAGACAACCAACAGCAGCAGCAGCAGCAGCAGCAGCAGCAGCAGCAGCTGCCTACAGACCCTATGCAGATACTGAGGCAGTTTTGCAGCAGATATGTCTCTAATAATAAATCTTCGGAGCTGCTGCTCGCTTTAAGTGAGTGTTCGTTTCACCCTAATGTAGAGAGATGCATTAAGAAAGAAAGACAGAGACAGCAGCGCCTGATGCAGCTAGAGCAGCAGCAGCAGCAGCAGCAGCAGCAGCAGCAGCAGAGACAGGGGAAGAAGGGCAGCGATAAGGTTAAGGGTAAAGGAGACAGATGTAAAGACAAAGACAAGCAAACAGCCGCTGCTGTAGACAAAATATTTAACTCTTTAGACTCACCCTTCGATGCTATCTTTCAAGCTGATATCCGCAGATGGCTGCAGCAAGAAGCAGATGAGGAGACACCAGCACCAGCAGCAGCAGCAGCAGGAGCAGCAGCAGGGGACTCCGAGGCCCGCCAGCTGCGACGAGGCAAAACTCCTGTTGTTGCTGCTGCTGCTGCTGCTGCTGCTTCAAAGAGATGGGTGTTAGACGGAAGGGAGCCGCAGCACAGAGACCATAGACATGCACTGAGTGCTGCAGCTGCCTGCTGCAACATATCATCAGAGCAGCAGCAGCAGCAGCAGCAGCAGCAACCTGTTGTTGTCCTCGATTCCAGAGCAGCAGCAGCAGCAGTATCTGCAGCAACGAGCCCAGCAACACCCGCTGCTGCAGCAGCAAGCCAGCGGATGCACCGCAGCAGCAGCAGCAAAGGCTACAGCAGCAGCAGCAGCAGCAACACAAAGTCACCGCCCCACGTCGTGCCCTGCAGCTCGAGAATAACAAACCCAGTACAGAAGTGAGTCTTATGTAGACTCCTAAGGTTTAGGGTTTAGGGTTTAGAGTTTATTAGGGTTTGTGGTTTAGGGTGAGGCGTTTAGCGTTCAGGGCCCAGGCCTAATCATGTTGTTGAGGGTTAGGGTTTAGGGTTTATAATATTATGAATTAGGGCTAGTATTGTTTATTAGGGTTTATTATTGTTTATTAGGGTTTATATTTGCTTATTAGGGTTTATAAGTGTTGAGGGTTAAGGGTTTTTAACTAGGGTTTATATTTGTTTATTAGGGTTTGCTGTTGTTATTGATTAGGGTTTTGCTACATGTTTAGGGTTTACGGTGTTCCATTAGGGTTTAGAAGCTGTATAGTTTATTAGGGTTTATATGTTTTTAGGGTTAATACAGCTGGTTAGGGTTTATGCAGCTGATTAGAGTTTATTAGGGTTTATATTAGGGTTTACATTAGGGTTTATATTAGGGTTTACATTAGGGTTTCTATTAGGGTTTATACTAGGGTTTACATTAGGGTTTATATTAGGGTTTACATTAGGGTTTATATTAGGGTTTATTAGGGTTGATTAGGGTTTATTTGGGTTTATGAGTGTTGATTAGGGTTTATATGAGGGTTTAGGGTTTAGGGTTTAGGGTTTAGGGTTTTAGGGTGTCTAAGCGTACGAAATTTTTTGCAGGTGGAAGGAGGATCTTCGAGGGGGTTATTTGCTGCCTTATTTAAATTTTTCTTTAGAACAAGACGAAGGAGAAGCAGCAAAGACAAGAAGAACTCAAGTAAAGAAGCATGACTGGCAGAGCTATATACGCTTAGAGCCTAGGGGTTTTCAAGCGAGAGTTATACCTGCTGAGAATACACTCAAACTTATTTGTGAAGATCTCGCTAAACAAACTCGTAAGCATATCTCAAACATCCTCTCAGGGTTTGCAGGCGTCATCAGGGTTTAACAGGGTTTATTAGGGTTTATTAGGGTTTATTAGGGTTTATTAGGGTTTATTAGGGTTTATTAGGGTTTATTAGGGTGGTTGAGGTT